ATTTGTCCAATATTTCCCTTCATGTTTATAATAAAATCAATATGCTTTAGCATAGCTACTAAAGTCCAATAGGATAAGACATTTAGAAACTTCTCCAGTGTACTATGACCACACTTTTTTTTGTAGCCCTTCAAACATTCCAACATTCTTCCATTTCAGGATTGCTAGATCTCAGCTCAAAATGCTCTTTCCACAAGTGTTTCAGTCATTCATTACTCAAAAGTCACACCTAAGAAAGGCCTTCCTTAAATACAGTAGCTACTTCAGTCATATTCTAACCCCTTTATCTGATTTCTTTCTTTCCAATGTTGTGTAGCATTTACCATAGCAGATAATTTCACTTATAGTGCCAATAGTGCTTTGTATACCTCTGATTGTCAATAAATATTTGTTAGACAAGCAAATGTGTATATAAATAATCTCTATTAAGACAACAATGTATTTCTTGTTATAACAAGATCAATTCTGTATTTTAAAAATATTTCATATGAGAGATCTTAGGATAGGGTAAACATTAGTTTAAAAGAATATTTACTTATTTATTTAGGAATTGGGTTATCTAACTTTATAGCCCAGGCTGAAGGGCAGTGGTGCAATCATAGTGATACAGGACAAGTGGCATTCCAGCCAGCTGGTGGAGCTGGAGGGCATGCACCTGCTGCCTCTGCCTTGGTGCTGTTGGTGCAGTGGCAGCAAGCATAGGAACCAGCGGGCTGGAGAGTGGACAGGGAGTCCCCATTTCCTAGGCCTGGGAATGAAAGGGACTGTAGCCATTCATTTGTGACCCAGACATGTTCTTCCAGACATGTCCTAGACAAGCTAATTGTAACTACCCAGGGCAGACTTATCCCAGACATCTTGTTCCAGACATGTCCCAGACATGCTAAATGTAACTATCAAGCTCAGCTAAATGTAACTACTGAGGGCCCCATGGGATTACATATACCCCCTAGACAAAGAGCCTACAGACAGACAGACAGAGAGGGAGAGAGAAAGCACTTTTCTCTCCTGACTGGAGTTTTCTCTCTGCCAGAAGATCTGGCACTTCTGTATTCTTTTCTGTATATAAATCCTGTCTTACCACTGATCTCTGATCTGCAGATTCTTTCTTTGAATCACCAAGACCAAGAACCTACTGAAGAGGGAAATTCTGGTATCAATAGCTCACTGCAGCCTAAAAATTCTGGGCTCAGCTGATATTTTCATGTCATGGTTCTCAATGGCTGGAACTATAGGTGGGAGCCATCACATCCAACTAAGATTTTTTTTTTTTTTTAATTTTTCAGAGACAAGCTCATGCTACGTTGCCCAGGCTGATCTAGAACTCCTGGGCTCAAGTGATCCTCTCACCTCAGTTTTCCCAGTTACTGAGATTATAGACACAAAACAATGTTCTTTAAGAAATATTACAATAATTCCAATTGAGTTTAATAAATGAACCACATAAGATATAAATATACAATTACCAAGATTAGTCACTAGCTTTTGCATGTCGTTGCAACATTAATTAACTAACTAATTAATTAAATGCTTCATTTTAGACCCAGCTGGTAAAGTGTGGGTAAGAAAGGCAGAAAAGTAGAGTAGGTAGTAAGAAAAATGAGAAAGGTGGGGATTAAGTTTTATTGCCTATGCTAGATGTTTTATATCTGCAATTTTTTTCATTTCTCACATGGGGATATTATTCCTGCTTTCCAAAGTGAAAACTGAAGTATAGAGAAATTAACTGACTTCTCAAAGAAACGTATTTTTATGAATAAACATGAGATTTTGATAGATGACACTTCTTCCTGTCTCATGTTAATGAATATGACTTTAAAATGTATATATTTCAAGGAACTTGCATTCTTCTACAAATTACAATATAATGTGTAAAATAAATGTCAAGGGAGGCCAAAGCCTTGAACTTTATTACAAGCCAGATTTATTGCTTTAGGGAGTCACCTCAGAGCTTTTTTAATCAATACGAGTCATTTCAATCAAATTTCTTTATTCAGTCAAATAAAATAAAAAAGGCCAATAGCAATTGCTGATGGCAAAATCCAGCAAATGAAGCCAATTCTGAAACAATAAAAGTAAAGGTATATAGTTAATATCTGCCTAACCAAGTCAAGGGTAAAGAAGGTAGGCAAAGGCCTGAGCTTTAATAAGCTAGGAGGGGAGAAGAAGAGAGTGTAGGCCTTTTCAAGAGAGAGGGAAAAAAGAAAGCATTAGGAACTACTTGAATGTGCTAGACATTTTGCAAGACTATTTTTTAAATATTCAAATAGTTTTGTTTTCAAAGTCAATTTGTTCTACTTTTTATGTAAACTTGAAAATGTAATATACATATTTATCTATGGAGCCTCTTGGCCTTATGGATTAACAGGAAATAGTAAAACAGCAGAATTAATTTTAGGGTAAGAGATAGAGTTGGCAAAGCCCTGATCAGTCTGAAACTTAACAAACTTCCTATGTGTATCAGCAATAGTT